AATAAACTAAAAAGTTACATGAACATATTCTCTGGTATTGTATTGACTACATTAATGTAAATAAAATCCTTAAACAACAAGTATAATGTATTATGTGTCTCTTTTACATTGATGTCTGTTATTACCTAGAAGAGAAATGGGGACCTGGTAGGATGACGAAAGCATTTGTGTTGGTAATTGCCATATGCCCTCATGGTGACCATGTGTTAGGAATACTCCCCAGGGAGTGGAGATGGTGTACATTGTACGTAGCCATACCACTGACGCATGTACCGGAGTAATTAAGACACAGGGATGCCAATTAGAATTGCTCAGAGGGCCTGAAATCACCTAGAATGAGCAATTTTGTACACAAAATAAACTAAATTATGGCCTGAAAATAAATCGCCAGGGCCTTGATGAAAACTGGATTCAGCCGAGGACGCAGGTTCGAAACTGAGTCACGTCTTTCGGATGGTGACGTTAAAGGTCGTTCCCCAGACGTAAATAATCATATCTGATTGATACACGCCTGTGAAATCCAATTTCACACACGCATCCCTGAAGACATCATACAATGCCTTGGATGACAGTCTGTATGTCAGCCTCCTTCTTTGGGTGTTGGATGCCTAATTAAGCCACCAGCAGTTTTATCTGCAAAGCTGATGTTTTTGGTAGATCTCGTTGGGAGACTTCAGATCTTCTTAGTCGTTCTGTTTAGTGTTTGTGTAAGGCGTGTGAGGTGATGTTTCTAGATCTCTCCAGGGACCCGTTTCACAAAGCCTTTTTTTCAATGACAAATTACAAAAATATGTGACAAATATGTTGATAACCAATCAGAAGCAAGGATTTCAGTAGCTTATAGCAAAAACTGCCATTTGTCACTGATGACAAGTTTTGTGAAACACCCCCCCCCCCCCTGCACTTAAAATGAAGGTAAGACGGGGATGGATGAAGACGTGTATGGGTCCAGCTTCTACCATGGTGCAAGGAGGGAGCCAGCAATGGTTTCTATGTCTTGGACGAGTCTAGTAGTCGGGGAGACAGTGTTACCATCAGATCGATAGAGCCCCAAGGTTACACCAAGATACCATTGGTGCTGTTCCTCATTCAAGACAGGAATGGCATGGTCTTGAACCGTATACGACGCAGGGAGAACTTTATTCACTCTCTTGCAGTTGAGGGTCGACGAATCATACTTTGTTGGCTTGAAGATCATTCCTAGAGCGGTTGCAACTTCACTTGCGGTGTCAAGCTGAACCTCTTCAGAGTCACTGGTGAGGACTTAGTTGTCAACATACACAGGGGGTGTTTCACCAAAACTTGTCATCAGTGACAAGTGACAGTTGTTGTTATAAGCTACTGAAATGCTTGCTTCTGATTGGTTATCAGCAGATTTGTCACTGATATTTGTCATTTGTCATTGAAAAAAGGCTTTGTGAAACGGGTCCCAGGATTGACACATCTTTGCCATAGACTCTGGTTAGGTGGTTGATGTTCTGCACAGATCGTAATATCAGCTCTATCACCAAGTTAAAAAGGATTGCTGACAGTGGACATCCTTGCTTCACCCCAGAGCGGATTGGGATGCTTGGGGTCTGTCCATTAGGTGATCTGAAAGATGTTGAGGCTCTTGAGTAGATTTCTTGTACCAAAGATACTAGGCTGTTAGGTGCACCTAGTGGATTGCGGCATGGGGGACACTCCCGAAGGCGTTCTGTATTAGGTCTAGCCATGCAAGAATGCATTTCTTTTGATTCCTCCTGGTGTCTGTGTGGATTGATGAAAGGATGTTGGTTGCTCATAACATCCCTCAGATCGGCGAGGGCTCTTTTGGGAGTCACTGATGTGGCTCTATTGCCCAAGATGTAATGTTATAGAGACTAGTGGTGTACAGCCAGTAGCCTAGATTTAATTTCGTCTTTACTTTCCGAATTAATTATGAAATAAAATGCAAAATACTTTTAAGACATGTCGCACGGGAATTGCTCTAATCAAGACTACAACATGACTTAAAATGGTATGGAAGAGAGAGAGAGAGAGAGAGAGAGAGAGAGAAAGATATTGTAAAGTAATAGTATTAACAACAAGCTCGTATTAGTGTAGAGAAATTGTCATTTTAACAACTAGTACAAAGATTTTTTATTTTTTACTTCCAGCTCTAGTCAGTGTGTGAGGTATAACGTCAGGCATTGCATGCGTGTTGCTTTCTGTTTACACATAATTATCGTCAACAGGTTTGCAATATATATCCGGGATGGACAATGATATGCAAGTCCTTTCCAAACTTTATCAATTCTGATTCTTGCTGTCATTTCCAGAAGTTCTTTTAGCTCGAATGCGACTAGCTTCCCTCCCGGTAAAATTGTGGAAGTAATGTTTTTTTTTTTTTTTTAGGATTGCACTTTGTTTTTTTCAGAAGAGGAAGGGCGCCTCACCCGCAAACACAAAGAACGTGGGATGATCGGCGTCCTATAGTCAAAATAAACTTATAGTAGTCGAGAAAAAAAAGCACGTAAATGTGTATTTGGACTATTTTCAACTCTGAATATATTTTATTCATCTAATTTTGTTCAAAATATGTTTTTATATATTTTTCCTCTTTTACTATAAGAGATTAGTTGAAAAATAATCATTTTTTCTAGGAATAATAGTAAAGAAAAAATAGCCCCAAAATATTTATTCACATGTGTAAAATACTTAGCAGGGCCGTGACTCTGGTGGAACTATAATTATGGAACAATAAGATTTCTCACAGTGAAGTAGTGTAGTTGATAAATTTATATTGTGAATAAATATATATACAAGTATATATAAATATAAAATATATTTTTACATTTTTTCTACATCTTTCACACGCTGCAATCCAACTGGTTCATTTGTTCGAAAGCAGAAAGTAATCGGGCAAAGAAGCCCTTCTTTATGATGGACGACAGTTTTTGAGTTTTTGATATAATTTTTAAAGTATAAGTTCTTAGTCAATGAAACTTTGACTATAGGGTAATCAAGTATCCCCAATCATGTGAGTAGAATTTCAGATCACAAAGTCAAGGTCAAAGGTCATTTCAGGTCAACAGACTTGGACTATGTTGTAGCATCATCATGGAAAACTTAACCTAAGGTTAAGTTTTTGAATTTTTGATATAATTTTGAAAGTATAAGTTCTTAGTCAATGAAACTTGGACTATTGGGTTATCAAATCTCCCCAATCATGTGAGTAGAATTTCAGGTCACTAAGTTAAGGTCAAAGGTCATTTAAGGTCAACAAACTTAGACTTTGCTGTGGCATCAACATCAAGATTTTCAAAATGCTTCTTCTTCGTTTTTTTCAACCGATTTTGATTCTGATTGTTTCATATGATAGGGCTAGGAGGGGGATTTTAAAATTCCTACACAGAATCGTGAAATTCATTATCTATGCTAATGTATGCAAATTTATTAGAAATCACAAAAAAGACTTCTTCTCCTTCATTTCTCGACCGATTTTGATTTGGTTTGCATAATATCGTAGAGCTAACTTTCGTACACTAAACTTCTACACAGAATTTTGAAATTGTTCTCCATTAATTAATTATGGTAATTTATGCAAATTTATTCAAAAAATAACAAAAATTGCTTCTTTTCCCTCATTTCTTGACCGATTTTGATTTGGTTTGCCTTATCTGGCAGAGCTAAATTTGGAACCGACTAAACTTCTACACAGAATTGTGAGATTCTGCTCCATTGATTATTTATGGTACTTTATGCAAATGAAATGAAATTATGTCCCTTCCAGGGCATCAAATTTTTATTTTTTGACCAGTTCAAAAGTGTACCACATAAATTTACGATATTTGTTGTTACGAGATGCGGATGAGCGCTACGTCATTGACGTTCTGGTTTATCATGTTGAATTGCGTTATGCAGGCGAGACCGCCGAGAGCGTTTCCCTTGTTTCCTATAAGCGCTACTCCTGGAAATATTATAATCGACAGTATATTATGTTCCCCGCAAAAAGGAGAAAGACTCCATCGGAGTCAGAAATGCAATCAGCATCGTTTTTGACATTTTTCTAATTCCTATGTTATTTTGAAAGTCTACATTACCAGTACGTTAATTGCTATTATAAGAAATATGAACTCGATAAGGTTGATAAAGACGAAATAGTAGCTTGCCTATAATTAAGTCTTCTAACTTTTTTGGGGAAAAAAATCAGAGTCCCTTGCATTTTACTTTGAGATTTAGTTCCACTCAATCACTGACGTCACAATGCTAAATCTCGGATCCTCTTACGCCTATAGAATTTGAACAGACCCGGTGGTGAGGGCGGTTTACGCCCGGGTTTACGCTAGAATGGTTTTCTCAAAAACATTATAAATCCTGCTTTTCAAGCGAGACCTATAGTCCACAAGCTTGACAAGCAGAGTGTCTTTCTTTTTGATACTCGTGAATAAGAACGAACTGGTACACAGAGTACTCAATAGCACAAACAAATCGCGTTGTTAGGTGACTTATCGAATGAATAGAAAAACCCGTCGGTGTTGTGGAAAAGCTCGGCCTTGTAGTTCTTCTGCCCCTGAGCTATTTCGGCCCAAACGTGTGAAACAAGTGCACATTGATTTCCAGAATCTTTAGCGATAGACTGTCGTTACTAGCCTATGTACACTAATTTTATTTCCCCTTTTGATATAGCAATTCACAGCAATGTGAAAGGCTTAATTTCCTAATTGCATAACTGGCTTTTTGAGTCCGGCCCCTATCGGCCCTAGCTCGGAATTCTCCCTCCCCCTCTCTCTCTCTGATTTTTTTTCTTCGTGAGAGCAAATTATTATCTGGTGGGAATGACAGCCATAGTTGCATGTTCGAGAGGTGACGAATGAAACTTAAACCTGTTGATTTTTGTAAAAGTAGTAATATTTTTTAAATATTTTTTAGTCAACTAATAATAATAGAAACATGGCGTGATTAGAGAGGCAACCAAACCTGTTAGTTGTTTGTAAACAGAGTTAGTTGAATAAGTTTATTCAATATTTAAACATTTTTTACATCATTACCATTTAAGTCTCAAAAGGGTGTAGCTCATAAATGAATGGCGAATCGGGAAACAAGGCGAATCACTTTAAGCCGAAATGTTTAAAACAAGTAATTTAGACTTGCACTGAGTCAATATTCTCGTATCTCGCCCCATTGGCTCTATTCAATATCCCAGAGCAAATCTCGGCAGCCGAGAACCGCCTGTAAGACCATTATTAGCAAGCAGGTCCCATTCAGCATTGCGCCAAACAACCGAGGTCGATTGATTAGAAGTGAAGTTAAAGCTATCCGAAGATCGCGTAAGAGATCTACATACCTGGAAACATGGATTTAATTCACTGGATATAACTGCAATTGCTACGGAATCATGGCTAATTAATTTTGACTTTTAATTTGGAAACTATCTCATCCCATATCGTTGTGATATACAGGGCTTATATAAATTTGAATACAGGCTAATTATCCATCATGTGTCGCTTTGTGTCATGCTGTAATATTGGTAAGCTTTCTCATCTTCAATTAAATCAGTGCAATTAATTGCTTTGGCATACAAAAATGTTTGATTGTAATCGTACATTGGCAGACAGGGATTAAAGTTCAATAACTTATTTACGCTATTCCCCTCTGCAATCATGAAGATGAATATGTGTTCTATATACGACAGGCTATGCATGTGCCACCATTGTATTTTGAAGAACTTGCACAGCTGGTGTTCGTTCAGCGGGTCAGATTAATCTCTTCTGGATGTTTAATTTGCAAAAAAATATATGCCAATATTTCTAATCAATATTAATGGTAGAGTCACGAAATTCAAACTCATGTTTGCTCGATTGAATCTACTATCCGAACTTCCAGAGTTTATATTGATAGGCTTATAATACGATTGGTTCTTTCTCTCTTTGTTTATATGCGTGTTGATGATGTTGATATAATTATGATATGTACGCCTTAAACTTGAGAATGTTGTCAAGTGTCATCAACATTAACTGAAAGCTCTTAAAGACATGGCAGAACTATTGAACGGTTTGATTGACAGTGTAACTTCCTAGTCCTTAATTTAGGCCCTACTTAAGTGGTAGGTACATCATTTCATTTCAAAAGTGACAAGAGTATAATGTCGGTAAAACAATGCGCTACATATATAAGCAAGACAAATCGTATATTATGAATTGAAAAACAACAGCAATTAGATCGAAAGAATGTACAACGAAATAAATAAAAACAAAAAACCAGAGGAACAGAAACAGAATGATAGCCCATTTTCAGCCGCACTTGCATTGCGCAGATACGACCGGTTGTAAACTTCGACAACCAAAAAAGCTGCTACCGTCGACAACCAATCTGCAAGAATCAGTTACCTAACGGTGTAAAAAACGTCCAGCCGACCAAAATTACCCGGAGACCAATACCCGACCACTGGCAACCTCTTTGTGACCTGGCAACTCTTGGCTCTGACTTGCTCTGACGAAAGCGCTTACAATATTATTACCCGCAACAACTCGCATGTTTTATGATAGTCAAATATAATAATGTTAAAACTTGAACCAACTTCCCCCTATAAATCATTGAGCATCTACCTGCCGCCCATCGATTTACACATGCCCGCTTGCTCTCTCTCTCTCTCTTTCCGTCAAAGACGTCCACAACATTTCGAAAAACCATATACCAGGACAAACCATCGTCAACCAATTAATCATCAAAAACGTCATCCCCCACTGAGATTTTATAGAAAATAAATGCTTTTTTTTTTAGGTTTCATTTTCACAACAAAAGACTGAATTTTCGGCCGATAGTATACGTGCATCTGTAATATTTCCAGTACCATGGTTTCGAAAGGATGTTTTGGTCGGTATATTTTGCGAAACTATTTCAAAGAAGCTTTTGAAATTACGATACCATCCTTTGCTAAGGCTATATATATTACACGGTGTACTATATTTTCATGTAATGTGTTGTATTCCATTTCGTTTGCTTTACCCAGGCTGCCCTCGTAAATGTTTCACATTCAAACTGTTCTTGAATGCTGGAAGTTTTTTTTTAGCAAGATAACAATAATGCATTACCCGATTGTCTCTGTCGCTCTCGCTCTCTCTACCTCCTTAAATAATAATAATAATAATAATAATAATAATAATAATAATAATAATAATAACGTTACTTATAAAGCGCTTACCACCGAATTCTCTATAAGCGCTATAACAAACAAAATAGACTGATAAACAAATTATTATTAAACAAAAACAAAAAAGTGCAAATAAGCCTACAAATTATAATGCATTATGTAATACACATCAATGTGAACAGAGTAAATGTGTCTTAAGACAAGTTTTGAATTGGTTAACAGTTTCATTTTCCACCATCCGACGGGGTGGGGCGTACCCCAAGCCCACCTGTATCTACGCCGCTGCCAATGGCATAAAAGTGCAAAGATAATTAGTCCCGAAAATAATATTGTGACACGTGACAGGTGCATGATGGTTTCTCCAAGCCTTCCGGATTCCATTTTGTTTCACGTGATAATTTCAAAGTCAATAGCTGCTAATGAAGCCGTATTCCTTTCACGGGTGTACTACCACTTAGTAGTGCTTTCTAGTGTTTGTTGATATCTATACGGATAGCCTGCATGCATGTCAGGCAGAACCGCAAAAGACTGAATCAATATTTGAAGTACCAGATAATAAACTGTCGAGACTTTGGGGGCATTAATTACTAACAACCGGGGCATGGACCACTTCTAGTATTATGAAGTCCATGATTGTATTGACATGATTGAGACGTTATGGTATAATGTGGCCCAGTGGTAGTGCAGTGGTCTAGTAACCGGGAGGTTCCGAGTTCGAAGCCAATTCAATGCGGTTGTGCCCTTTGGGTAAGGCATTAATCCGCATACGTTCCTTGGAGAGTACTCATAGCCGTCGGTCCCCTGGTTGCTTACTTGAAGCGTATACTTTCTTAGTAGTCATGTCAAACATTCCTCAAACAGACAAACAAACAAACAAACAAACATTTCATGGGCAGGTTTAAGGTTTTTAGATCACATCTAGTCATCTACTATAATTTCAGTTTATCTTATACGGGGGGGGGGGGATAGCTCAGAAATCTCAAAAATAGCTCTGGTATTATAATAATAAATACCTCAATATCACTCCGATAAAATCACACTTTTACCACACCAAATCCTAAAGAGCTTTCACCACTCAATACGGTATAGCTGGTATCCGCCGATGGATCGGTTCACTTCTTTGATCATGAAACAAAATATGTTACATGTATATGAACATTATAATATATTTTACAAAAATATAAATGCAACCCGAAAATAATTATATCAGTTATTTACTTCTTTTGGAAACATATACTTTGATCATAATGCAGATCGTTTTTTACCGACATATAATTTGCTATTGATTTCTCATTTTAATTATTGTCTGTCAGGTTGAGGACTGATCGTCACAACAATGACGAACTCGGAGAAGATGCGATTCCAATCACCAAGCAGGTCTGTATCGAACCATAGTCCTTCATCAGCTCGCCAGGACCAGGTACGATCCAGCACGAAGAGCAGAGCCTCTGGTCCCAGACCACTGGGCACCCCAGCTAGTGACATCTCGATGTACTACGACCGAAGGATGGCTGCGGCACATAATGGTCGTTCGACGGGACACAGAAAGGGACGGATGGGACTGTGTGCTTCGGCCGATATGGAGAGAAGGCGAAATGGTCATCAAAATAATAAAGGGTATGTATTTCACAACTTCAATGTCTATGGATTACTCATTTTGCTTTAAAAACAAAAAACTAGCAAACACAAAAATGAAGAACAAAGACATCAATAAGAACAGCAATCTCTAACAAAAGAAAACGCCCATGCAGTTTAACCCCCAAAATGTCAAGGTCCGGTGTTAATGATGAAGCGGATCCTAATCAAATGATTGGTTGAGAGCGTATTGGGGCCTGCCTACACGTGACCAGGCATTTATTTTGCCTCACACGTAATTTTACTAATGACCGGTCATTAGTAAATGCTGTAAAGGCGATACTAATGCCCATCAAGGAGGGATGTGTGAAACTTCCTATTCAGCTTCAACTAATAGAAATAGTATACGCAAACTGTTGTCTGCTATCAAATTTGCATCTGAACGTTTAAAGAAGGCAACAACTATATTGAAAACTTGCAATTTGCTGCAAAGACAAGTTTGGATCACCAAGGACCTTGTTAGCGATTAAGTATAGACATAAAGCTTTAGTGATTGTCCATGACATTCAGTGGCATAGCATTGATTCAAAAATCGAGGGAATATTGTATGGTAGTTTTTTGGTTTTTGTGGGGGGGGGGGGCGCCTTTGTTGAATTATCGAGATTGAGGGAGATTGTAGGCACCTCATTTTCTTGTCCCGTTCCCCCTCTACCTTTTCTGCTTTCTATTAATCTTGCCCCTTCCTCTTTTTTCACCCTTCCATTTGGGAGTACGTGCCCCTGTCTCCCCCTCCCATATAGCTACGCGACTGATCATTACTAATAGCATGCAGGTGTACCGTGTCTCTGAAATAGATAACATTTCAATTATAGACAAAATTTGTTTTTGCTAGCACCCTTGTTTACAAACATCTTGACATGATAATGCAAGCTTCAAGATAGCACAGGCAATCAGAGACGTAAAGATTATTTATTGGGGTGTGCCGAAAATCTCGTAGAACCAAAAAGAAAAAAAAAAGAAAAAGGTCAATGTAAGGTCTCCCGAATTGGGTTTTAAAAGACGGAGAGGGGGGGGGGGGGCAAGTATCCCCTGGTCGTGACATTTTATGTAAAATATTTTGTGTGTAAATCCATAATTATCTTATTAACAATTAATGATTATAGACTGAGCCTATTCGGAAAACTTCAAAGTCTTGTTGTTGTTACCGATCGCTGTTCATTTTCTGTTGGCCTATATTGGTATACTTTCTGTCGGTAAACTTGACAATCTGACATTAATTTAAAACCTGCCGACGTACTTTTAGCTATCGCCCCAAATGTTGAATTTGGCGAATCTTTAATTATTGTGAAGTTGGAGAATGCTAGTGCCATAAAATGTCGGCAGCTTTGTTGTGACCCTTCCCTCGTTACTTCAAGATAGTCTTACAACGACCCTGTCTGTAAATAAAACTAAACAGTTATCCTGTGCAAAGTCCGCTCGATACATAAAGTATAATATGATGTTTCATGGTTAGTTTACAGCTGAATTACTTGTGTAGCCTTGACTACTATCTACATTTGAAGTTGTCATTTTATGGATTTATATCTTTGTACAGTCATCGGTAAATATAGGGAACGCCATATTTTAATGGTGGAATGTGTGAAATCTTGGGTTACATTTTGTTATTGAAAGGGCCCATGTGCTCGGGAAAGGTTTATTTCTGTTTGGCCTACAACTAGTTCGTCCAATAACCATTTGATGATTACTATTATCTATGATTTAATGATTATACCGTATGGATTGGACAGTAAACGCAATGGGCATTAGACAAGCTGGGAATTAGACCAAATGGTTAATAGACTTAATGAACAATAGACCAAATGAGTAGTGGATAACTGGAGATTAGACCTTATGAAAATTAGACCAAATGACTATTAGCCTAAATGGTCATTAGACCAAATGGTGAGAAGACGAAATGATTATTAGACCATGGTTGTGGATAGTAGACGGACAGCAGAGTGTAGACCATATGGGAATAGACTAATTAGGTAGTACTAGTAGACGAACTGGTTGTGGACCAAACGGCATATCAATTCCTCAAATTGTATTAACATGATAGGAGTCGACGATTGCATAACTATAGTTTTCGCGCAGCTCCTAATTTTTGCGAACATTCAGCTTCTGACGATTGAACATGTAGTCCGAACGGCATTTCATTTTCACGTAATGTAACATGAAACAAAATGTATTGAGAATTGAAATAATTTTTTCTTTAATCATAAATTATGTTGATTAATGGTTTGGAATTCACTTGACAAATGACAGGCCTTCTACAAGTATACTATACAGAAAAGTCTCTAAATTGGCTGGCAATGTTTTGTAGCCTATTTTGTACAATGATTGAAAAATGAGATTTCCGAAACCCATAAACATTTTGAAAGCAACCTTAAAGCGCTATGTCGGCCCAAAGCAAAAACACCCTTATAAATTGATAAATATTTCAAGGCTATAATTTTACATAGAGCCACATCCTCTTCTGATATATTTTTAATCAAAGTGCCCCTCCCTCGGGCCGCCACCCCCTCCCGATTCAGTTGCATTTCGCAAGGATAGTACTTGTTGTGCTTCCTTTTTAAAACATCTGCTATTATCGGTTACCCGAGAAACCCTTCAACTCAAAGACAGGGGACAAAAGTTGCTTTATTAGAAAACCAACGGATAAGGATAACAAGATTTTATTCACGTTCTGTTCAACCGATACTTAGCAACAGGAGAGGAATAACGAATGATAACAGTCCACAGCATAATACGGAGAGTTGGTCCTTGTGTATGAACTAAATCTACGTGCTTCTCTGTTTTTCAACAGTTTTCGTTTGGTGTTTGAGGGATGTTAACCGAAATTTCGTCGCTTTTCATTAACAATTTAGATATAAATTGATCAATAGCGTGAAATATCCGTACATCGAGAGAGTCAGTCGTTTTCTGAAATGTGCTGGATTAAACTGTACATCAAGTGATAATCTTATTATCAAATTACGATTGGATAAACGGACGCAACGCAGAAAATAAGGTAAAACATATTTGATACATGTGTATCTGACTGATTAATTTTAGGTGGATAAATTATGGAAGTCTGAATTTGATACTGTATGACTTTCAACCAATCAGGGAGAAGAATGCAGGACTTGCGTTTTTGAGTCCTAGTCAACTTGCCACATCAATATGACTATTGATTGCCAAACATTGTCTTTGTGGTTAGTTGGGCTGTTTGATTGGAGTGTGGTTTACGTTTAGTTGGATGGTCAAATATTCTTGACTTGGTTATACCTACTGTAAGTCGTGTCAATGAACTGGTATTTGGTAGTTTATCGTGAATTCGCTTGATTGTTTATGCTTGAGTTACCTTTGTATCCCTCACCATTTTCGTCCTCTCCATCCCCCTCTCTTCCCCCCTCCCCCCCCCCCCACACACACTCTATTACACTCTCTTTTTAGAACAAATTGGTTGTCATGTTCTTAAGTGTAAATAATCGGGGTGGGGGGAATGGTTCATTTGTAAATTCATTATACCTTTGATGCCCATTTAAAAAAAAAAAATAGATATTTCAACTACATTTTAGTGCGTGCACATTAACTTCTGACACTTTATTTCCTGAAGCGATGATAACAAGAAGCCTCTTTTTACAGCCCAAGCCTCTCTCTCTCCCTTTCAACTCTTTGTTTCTTTCAACTGTCGGCTGGAAATGACACACCTGCGCTCCGCTCCGAGGGTGTAAGACCACACCCTTCTTACCTCCTCCTTCTCTGCACACCTCATCTAAACTGGAGAATCTACCAGAGGGTGTAAGACCACACCCTTCTTAACCCCTCCTTCTCTGCACACCTCATCTAAACTGGAGAATCTACCAGAGGGTGTACGACCACACCCTTCTTACCCCCCCCCCTTCTCTGCACACCTCATCTAAACTGGAGAATCTACCAGAGGGTGTAAGACCACACCCTTCTTACCCCCCCCCCCCCCCTCCTTCTCTGCACACCTCATCTCAACTGGAATTCTACCGGAGGTTGTAAGACCACACCCTCCTTCTTACCCCCTCCTGTAGGTGACCCAATCCTTGGTCCGTCGTTTCCGGACAACTAATGTCTTGTTTACCACCTCCAACCATCGATCGTCCATTGTTCCTAAAAACATGATAATCAATAAGATGAAAGGACCCGTCCTGCCATGCGAATCGCCAGACACATTACATCCATCGATTTCTGCGACTCTTTAGAAATTAGCATGTTTTTCCTAGATCAGGAGGAAACGGGCCTTTCCTTCATACATGCAAAATAATTTTATTAAACTCTCAAGTCTAATAATGACAATTTATAATTGAGTGATAGGATTTTATGCCACTGCAGTGGTGTGACTGGCAAATTGTGGGCGTACTCGTCGATTTATGTCGCTCCTAGTTTTTGGAAATGAAGTATAATGTATAGGCTTGCCTGTATGCGTGCATCAGGGGGTGTTTCACAAAACTTGTCATCAGTGACAAATTGAAGTTTTTGTTGTAAGCTACTGAAATCCTTGCTTCTGATTGGTTATCAGCTGATTTGTCACTGATATTTGTCATTTGTCATTGAAAAAAGGGCTTTGTGAAACAGGTCGCTGGATGTGATTTTAAATCTTGGATATTAGATGCATGTTTCCGGCAAACATGCCTTCATGCAGCTATTATAATCAACTTCAATGTGCCAATACATCTTATCACTGCGGGTTTTGAAGTATTACCATGAAAACATGTACCTATCTTCTTTTCCAGAAGAGCATATACCGTGGGACTCGCTATATTCCATCTCCTATTTACAAAGAAACAGGCTTTGAATCAAATTTACTCCTGGCGATTCTGTTTTTCTCAGCGATTATAATGTAAGAGAGAACCTTCAAGGAGCGCTCTTTGTCATCCCTTTCACTTATATTCAATGAGAACATGTCGTCCTCAAAGAGGTGAAGTCAGTGGCGTACCTATGGGGGGGGCAGGGGGGGCAGAGTGCCCCCCTGACGGGCTCCAGGAAAAAAAAAGAAAAAGGGGAAAGAAAAGAAAAGAAAGGAAAAGGAAAGAAAAAGAAAAAAGGAAAAGGGAAGAAAAAAGGAAAGAAAGAGAAAAAAGGAAAAAAAGGAAAGAAAAAAGGAAGAAGAGAAAAGGAAGAAAAAGGGAAGAGAAAAGGAAAGGAATAAAAATGGGGAATTAAAAAAAAAAAAGACCATGGCCGTACGCACCAGGGGGGGGGGGGCAGTTGACCCCAGATATATTGAAAACTTACAGTTTTTTTCCTGAAAATGTAGTGTAGGTCTATACCAAATCCTTCAATTCTACTTTTGAAAATGCAAAAGTACCCTCATGACCAGTTCGGTCGCTCGAACTCCCTTCACTCCTTTTGCTTTTGAAATTCTTCGAAAACTTTTAACGCATCTTTCCCCCTCCCCCACCAGAAAAATATTCCGCATACGGCCCTGAAAAATGAAAACAAATGAAAATAGGAAAATATAAGTGATATAACAAATTTGAAACTCTTCGCTGGCGCGAACTGCTTGCTAGCCTATTTTGTATTAAATGTTTTCACTTGCTCGTCCCCCTGAAAAAAGAAAAGGATTAGTATTGCCTGGAATACAATTGTGCCTGCCCCGACGGGCCCCGACCTGCAACCATGGCAACAATAACACACAATTATGTACCAAATGTTACTAAAAGAGACTAATTCATTTTTCTCGCTCGCTACACACGCTCGCGAATAAAAGGAATTGAATCGCGTTAAACGCGATTGCGTCCATCCTGACCTGCACCAATAAAAACAAGTTTATTTATTAATTTCTATTAAAAGAGAATTTATTTTTTTGCTTGCTCGCTATGCTCGCTCGCCAAAATGGAATTGACACCGCTAACGTGCCCGCCCCAACCTGCAATAACCAGTTAATAATTATGTACCAAACGTTATTCAAAGAAGTTTTGGTGTGCTCGCGTGCTCGCCAAAATGGAATGATTGTGTAAGCCCTGCCCTGCAACAAAAAAATCTGAAATTTATGAACCAATTATCATTACAAAAATTTTGCTCGCTCGCTACGCTCGCTCGCCAAAATAGAAATAACACCGCTTTTAATAATCACGTCCCTGACATGGAACAATGAACCCAAGTTTATATACCATATTTTCCCTATAAAAGAGAAGTGATTTTTTTTGCTCGCTTGCTACGCTCGCTCGCCAAAATAGAAATAACACCGCTTTTAATTATCACGTCCCTGACATGGAACAATGAACCCAAGATTTATGTACCATATTTTCCCTATAAAGTGAAGTGATTTTTTTTTTGCTCGCTCGCTACGCTCGCTCGCCAAAATAGAAATAACACCGCTTTTAATAATCACGTCCCTGACATGGAACAATGAACCCAATTTTTATGTACCATATTTTCCCTATAAAAGAAAAGTTTTTTTTTTTTCACTCGCTACGCTCGCTAGCTCGTGGAATGATGTGCCCACCACTAATAACCTGCTACAATATCATTAAAAAGAGAAATGTAGGGGGTTGCCTGCCCGCCAAAATGGGATTGACATTACCTTAAACACGATTGTGCCCGCCCCCTACCTGCAACAATGAAACAAATTTTATTTAGCAATTCATTGAGAGAAAGATGTATTTTCGCTCGCTAGCTAAAATGGGTATAACTTCATCCTAAACATAATTGTTCCCGCGCCCGGCATGGGACAATTGAACCAAGTTTAAGTGGCAATTATTAAAAAAGAAGTGATTTTTTTCTTGCTCGCTACACTCGTTTGCAAAAAAATGAAATTAACGTCGCTAACAAGTGAATGTTCCCAGCCCCAACTTGCAACAATACCAGTTTATATACCAAACGTTACTTAAAGATTTTTTTTTGCTCGCTCGCTCGCCAGAAGTGAAAATTAGCATCGCCTTTTTTGTTTGTTTCGGTCGCTTGCCCCCCCTGACGGAGTACCCCAGGTACGCCACTGGGTGAAGTGTTGTTACACAATTGTTACACAAAGGAAACTCCCCAAAGCCGGAGGCAATCTCTTTAAAGGCATCGTTTAACAATGTTAAATCTGAGATGCACGGCCCTACGTGTTATTAGTGTCTGTGATATGGTGTAATATATTGAAGCCCTAAACAAAAAATGATCATGAAGTGCCTCAAAAAAGTAAAAAATCTTTGAGTGACCGGTTTTACCATTCTCATTTCCCCAAATTGACTGTAGTGTAATAAAAACCGTTAGGAAAACGAAAAAAATTAAATTTTGATTTCCAATCATAAATATCTTGATAATCAGACAGGCGATCGGCTTGTAAACGTTTTGGGATTCCTGAATGACCTAAAGGTTTATAACTATGATTGCAGCATGAAGTAAATCCAGGATTTTGCTCCAGTATTTGAGGCAATGTTACCGAGTCACTTTAAGTCTATACCTAACAACTGAATTAACAGACCGCCTAAAAACCGGTCCGATCATAGTTATCGGACACAACTTAATCAATATTGATTGTAGCGGCTCTGAACACAGACAGTCGAAAGGGAGAGTCCTTTTTGTTTACTGGCGAGACAGCACTTAACATCACCGCTGTGTCACAGATACATCTTCAAAACGGTTTGTGGCACGCGTGGCAACGTTGGCCTGTTCTTCTTGTAGAAGACATCTCTTGTACTTTCCATCGGATTGCATCAATTTCTTGGATGTTTCTGTGTAGTAAGGAGTTTGCTTGATTCTCTGAGCTCTTGGTGAATGATTTTATTTTCTTGAATTGAAGGAACTTTCGTTTGTTTACGGGTAGAAGAATCTGTTTGTTTCAGATGATTATGGAGAACGGAGGCTTTTACGCTTCGGCGAAACTTCCTTGGCTCGGGGAACCCTTGTCGATAAGATTAGTGAAAGGAGACCAGTTCTGCCCCGACCGTCCGTAGAATCTGTACTGCCGTTTGAATATTTATCTCCTGGATTTCGGATATTAAGCATCTGTAAGAATGTACACGCGTTTGCTACGGAGATGGAGTCAACAGGATTCGTTTGAAAGGAGATAACCATTGGCGTCATCATTTAAAAAAAAAGTGCCAGAATTTACTTATTTATCCGGTTTGTCAACCTACGTGTATGTCTGCTGTCATGGGAGGTTTCACAAGCATAACAAGGAAACATCCAAAAGAAAAACAACAAAACAAATGTTTTAGCTTTCAGATAGTCATAGAATGACTCCAATCTTGAACAGTGACCTATGCAGATTCAAGCGTGAAGATGACTCACTTCGTTAATCTCAACGTTACACTCTTCTCGAGACTTTAAAACTACCAAGGAATTATACATATACTACCCGATATACCTATGGGCATTGTGATTCTAAAATGTCTTGTGGATGAACTATTGTTGCGTCAGCGGTGGGATTTGTACCTAACATGGTTTATGACCTCGAACTGACATATTTTCAAAGCGTTTGATTATGAGAGACATTACCATGACTACGCAGTAAGTCGAAACGAAACTTTTAAACCAATCTTTTTTTTTTAATGTTTAGGTCACTAAATGTTACCCGAATTTTGTACATCACTTTCATTGGCAAAATGAAACTACATGTAGTATGAAAATCGTCATAACGTTATATCAAGCAAATTTAGATTCTGTAAGAGACAAAAACCAAGCTTTGCTTTCACCATAATACATTGTTTTATAAGTAGACACGGTGATAATTCTGTAAGTCTTTACACATTTATGAATATCAGATAAGTAGAGACAACCTTATGCTATAATTATAATTATTTACATTCATGTAGAAATTGAGACTGAGGAAAATTATACAAATTGACGTACCTCACGAGTTTCGCAAGATCAGGTGCCCTTATCAATTTCATAATGAGATGCGGAGTATTTTGAGGTGCATGTGACGGTCTGTGATCAAATAGGCCATTTTCGCAATGTAACCAAATTTAATATCTAGACTACGTGAAGTGCCTTGATACGAATTGTTTAATTAAATAGTCAGAAAGCATATTGCATATACATGTATTACATGTTGTTAGATAGGGCAAGCAATAATGCTTGTCATACCTAGCAACACATAATCTATGTAATGCAGCTAAAATCCAACGCGGTTTAAGAATATTTCCTAGCAAAAAAGAAAACCAAACTTCCTTTACATTTCAAATAGTGGAGAACCGAGCTTGTTAATTGTTTAGTGTGTCTACAATGCTGCTTTGTATAATTCTGTAAATACTTTAAAAAAAACATTATTCTGTAATTTTGTTTATTTGATTTTTGATCAGTAAAGATTTTAAAAAGTTGATATACATGCTTTTGCCCATAATGATAAAACATTTGTTTGCCTCTTTTCATCGGAGACGATTATCGGAATGTTGTTTGTTGTCGATAAATAAATTTTATATATTCTCAGAACGTTATTATCTTAAGAGTCATAAGAATTATAGAGACTGCTCAATCAAGTTATGAGAAGTTTTATAATTTTTCTGTCGGGAATGGGTCAAGTTTGTAGCAATTATTTCATGAAAAGAGGTAACAGAGTAATTGATGGGTAACAGTGTATATTTAATGATGTTGCCAAAATTGTCGACACCATGCGCCCCCCCCCCCCCTCGATGACCTGCATCGGGAAACACCTCCTGAAGAAGACAAATGGCGTAGAGTTTTAGCGACATCATCATATGCCTACCCCTAAAAATGAAGGGGACACCAGCATCGGGGGGGGGGACAATGGTGTTGCTCTGTGAATGAAATGAAAAGTTAACAAGGTCATTGTTTAAGTGGATAATATGGGGATGGGGCGTAGGTTCTCTCTTTACATTCCCCTTTCTCTTTTCCATTACCCCTTTTTTGTATGTTTTTCTCCCTTTTCATTGTCAGTTATTTCGATTTAAGGGCATGTGCCCCCTACCCCCTGAGCTATATGTCACAGTGCATAATATAATAAGTTCCTTTATGTCAACTTTCTTTCAAAGGCATCTTCCTCATCATCGTCTTTGCACCTCTTTTCATTTTACAGAAGCTGGGTCCACAATGGTGTGGCCTCTCGTGCTACGGACCGCCACTCCTTCACCACCATAGTCTCGCCGCAACTCACTCGACGCCAGGCTCGCTCCGACGTCGCTATCCGCGAGCTCGGCTTGACGAGATCGCACACTGTGGCCGAGCTCCGTACACCGAAGATCAACCTCACCGGGGTGACCGGCGAACGACCTCGACCGCAGCTCTCGAGAGCATCGACGTGGTGCGCGATGCCGAAGGTCTCCTCTCGCTCGATGTCGCGGTTTTCTTCCATCTCGACGTCGAGTCTCCCAATGATTTCCAACAATACAGACGGGCGGGCTGATGCTCTAGTCAGCGCCTCATGCGATGGGTTGGTTGAGCGTGTCTCGGCTCTACGGAGTTTGGCCAATAATCCCAGATTAAAGGTAAATCTAGAAAGAAAGCTAAAAGAACATAGAGCATGAATTTGTGCTAAAACGTTTCACTTCCACTACAAATATGCTTGCATATTTATAGATAGCTTGACCGTAGTTTGGAAGTGAATATTTTTTAACAATTATTCATTCATATAATGTGGTAAATATTATAAGCTTGGCAAGATCTTCTTTAATGTTTTCATTTCTCAAGACCACTGTGTCCACATCAAGCGAATAACATAAACGATTTATATCCTATATGATTTTGGGCTATATTGGCTGTTGAAATGAAAAGTATTCCTTGTAACTTGAACCCTTCTCGTTTGGCTCTTGATGGGACGTGGTCAAGTATCTAAAAGAAGAGCCCCAAAGGCCCTAGATATATGTATTGAAGTCCATCGTGGACACTGTGTTATAAAGAGTTGCGACTGATCTGAATCAATCGCAAGTTTACAATTTCCTATATCTGTTATGTAGTTGTGATATATGATTCGCAAATAAGTTGCGTTTAATCGCAACTGATTATAAGATGGGCTGTGGTCTAGATTTTAGGGATCACGTTTGGGGATTACTTCGTTGGGAGTTGATTCCACTCCAAACCTATAGTAGTGGAATACACTCCAAACCTATAGTAGTGGAACCCACTCCATATTAGCGGTTGAATTAGTACTTTGAGAATGGTTTCAACTGTTTTTTGGGCCTGGATTTACACTCCAAACGACAAAGTGATCTCTATCAATATGACTCCAAAAATTTGGAGTTCCTGTACTTAACTTTGAAAGAGTAGATTTATCCACTGTGCCATCCCGTCTTACCTTTGACCCTCTTTGATTTATCATTACTTGCAGGTGAGCATCGTCAACGGGGCACCTACGATATCACCCCGCAAGAGCACGCTTCCATTTGGACTGGAATCAAACACATCTCAGAGAAGACACCACCGAGACTCCAAGAAAGAAGTCATCGTTGAGCTTTCGAAACATGGGTACCACTCTCGCAGCAACTCGCCTACCTATCGTCGGCTCATCCACGCGAAGGAACAACTCGACGTCGCGCTCTGCAAGAAGTTACGCGCTGTCAGACAGCAACTTGACGGGCAGACGGCGCGCGAGAACTCCGCCATGAACGGAGGACTCCGGCTGAAAATGGACGAGCGGAGTTCGGAGGAACGGTACAAGGACATGGTGGAGAAGGAATTGGAAAATGACGAAGCCTCGGAAGTTATTGAGAACATGACAATCGCCAACAGCGAGCCGCTTGCCATATTTGAAGCGTTAGATTTGCGAAATCCACGCCCTCACGTCGATCTCAACTTTGATATTCGTTACGTACAATCGCATATCAATGACTTGGATGTGTTGAATATAAATGTGGAGGAGGAAGAGAAGAAAATTCAGGAGAGGCGAGATAGAGAGAAGCGCAGACGGCCAGCGCGCGCACCCTCGCATTCTCCGACGCATTTCCGCAGAAGCTGCGAAGCATGTAGTGTGGAGGGCGCTCATCAAACGGACAAATCGCGCGTGGATTACCTACGCACGAAAAAGTCGCGGAGGATTAAACTCCGCAGACGACAGGAGAAGGATAGCGACGATAGCCATGATAATGATAGTGATAATGATATCGAGCCGCCGCTGATGATGGATGAACCCATCACAACGCAGCCGGACTTTCTACCGTTACCGTCACCTTCTACAAAATCGTTCAAAACAATGAAAAAGACCCAGAGTGAAACGTCGAAATCGTCGAAATCGTCGAAATCGTCGAAATCGTCGAAATCGTCGAAATCGTCAAAATCGACGAAATCAAAGACTTCAAGTATCGCACAATCTGTGGACGTAGCGGAAGAAGCAGTAAAATCTGAAACAGTAGAAACGGTAGAATCAGAAACCGAAAACCGGTTGCCATCGCTATCTTCGTCATCACCCTATATGGATACCCGATCAGCATCGGTTGCCAGCGATCAGGAATCTACTGGGACAAAACCCGAGACTTCGACTTCCGAGTCGCCGGTGGAGGAAGATAAACCCAAACTGAGCGACAAGGAAAAGTTTTTGATTATGAGAAAACGGATGAAAGAGAGAGAGGAGGAGAAGTTGGCCAAGAGGGAATCGTTTGTAGATTATTCAATGATTGCGTTTCATGGATCGCGCAAGGAGAGGGCGGGGAGGGGGCAGAAGGGGCTTGGCAAGACCCTCTCCAACAGACTCGAGAGTATGGCGTCCTTCAAATCCAAACCAGAAGACGACGGTAAAACTAAAAGAAAAGGCTTGATGTCAATGTTGAGCGATGATGATGATGATGATGATGACGATGACGACGACGACGATGATGATGACGATGAAGAAGAAAATGACGAGTAGAGCTTTCAACTACGAAACATTGATTAATATATATATTTCACTACACTTTGTGAAGTGAAAATATAAGTCGACACAACAGATGTTTTTGTTTTGTTGTATACAGTGTGAGTCCAAAAAAAGTTTACACCTAGAAAACTGCTAATTATTTTAAAAATCATCTATGAACAGTAAATTATTATACATCTGATGAAAGAGTGTTTTATCCCAAATCAATTGGTATCATTTTTGTGTGGTATGTGTTCACGCTTGGATGAACAGGAGGAATTGTTTGCAAGAGTGCAAAAATCGACTTGCGCCAAAGTAGCTTATGTGATGTAAAATAAAACAATTGGGATTTGGGTATTAATTCGGTCTTTGCAGATCCAAATAACATCCTAACAAAATTAATTATGCCACACGTATCAAATATCGAATATCAAATATCAACGAAAAATTTTGCGTGTGTGTGTGACTTTGCTTTTGCAAAAAGCATATGCAATGCATTTCATTTGATACATTCAATTCATTCTCTCACTCCGCTAATCCCAATATAATATAGGCATTGCTTTGGCGCAAGTCGATTTTTGCACTCTCGCAAACAATGCCTCCTGTTTATCCAAGCGTGAACACATACCACACAAAAATGATTTGGGATAAAACACTCTTCCATAAGGTGTATACTAATTTACTGTTCATAGATTCTTAAATTAATTAGCAATTTTCTAGGTGTAAACTTTTTTTTGACTCACACGGTAGATGACGATAATGATAATGATGAAATGTTGCCATTTGAACGTGAATTTCATGTGTACTACAGTTCGTAGATACTTCCTTAGTAATTTAATGGATCCATTAAAAGCAGGCCTATATGAGGAAGCGAGTATTTCAGCTGTGAAATTGAAAATGAGGAGCATGTCTTCCCTGACAGTAAAGACTTTCGAAATTTCACCCTAAGGCAATGAACATCCGTAACCTTCTCCGTCAAGTTTTGAAATGTGCAAACATTACCATGACGTCTTACGTAATCTGAACATGATTGCTGTAGGATACATTGAAATTGCATAAGTTTCGATTTTTCGAAAGCCTTTAATTGTGATCGTTTTGTCTCAAAAGGCGGTGACAAAAAAGTAAAAATATTAACGAAATAATAATGATTGTCCCCTTTACCCCCCCCCCCCCCGATCCGTCGGAGGGTATAAGCGGCTGGAATAATGCTGTCTCGAAAATTCTTTAATCGTCAATGCTATTTTAGTGAAATGAGTAGGCCTATGTGACAATCCGTTTTTAAAATAATATTTCTTGTTTTCGTCTTGAGGCTAATACGTTCTAACAGAAATATTTGATGTTGCAATATACGTTTTTGTTATGTAATACATTTCACTGCGAGTGACAATCAAAAGCTATGAACTGCTCAAAGAAGTGCGCAGGACCTTGTATTCCGTTCTGACTTCTTTGCAGGCAGTATAATTAAATGCATTTTTACGAAATACGTTCAACTGCTCGAGGTTTTGATTTTCTCTTTGCTCTTCTTAATAATGTCATGGGACAAAAAAATGTTCAAATGTGGCGTAGGTTCATTCAAATGTTTTAGCGTTTGAAAATGAGAAATATATTTTTTTGCTGTCCTATTTTCCGTATACACAGATGAGGGAAAGCAAAATCGCCTAGAACATTCCTCCATTATATTGAGATTGAGAAAGAAAGAGAGAGAGAGAGAGAGAGAGAGAGAGAGAGGGGAGATGGAGAGAGGGAGAGGATGGGTACGTTATACGCTAAATAAATATTACTTGAAATTCTGATCATGTATGATTTTGGAATATTTCAGGCTCCCTATCATAAACTCTTTCACATCGCTCATCCATCTTACCCCTCCCCATCTCTCTCTCTCTCTTCCTCAACCCCCTCCGTCTTATTTCTTTCCCTCTCGCCCCTTATAACTACCCACGATATGATTCCCACTTCATAATTGTGAAACCAACACAAAGTATTGAATACCCAACACGGTTCTAGGACACCAACCCCCTGGACACCCACCCCGGATAACCACACTCATTCAACTACCCCCTAGGACAACTACCCCCTAGGGCAACCACCCTCTAGGACAACTGGTAGTTGTCCTAGGGGGTATTTGTCCTGGGGATAGTTGTCCGAGGGGTAGTTGTCCTGGGGCTAGTCGTCCTGGAGGGTGGTTGTCCTAAGGGATAGTTGTCCTCGGAGGTAGTTGACTGGGGGTGGTTATCCGGGGTTGATATCCAGGTGTCCGGATACGACCCAACATCATTACCTGTCATCTGTTTAACCCCTTCCAAACTACCATGACTACAACTCTCATCCTCTCCCCTTTCTCACTCTTCCACTTCTCTCTCTCTCTCTCTCTCTCTCTTTTTTCTTCTCTCTCTCTCTCTCTCTTTCCTTCTCTCTCCCTCCCTCAACTTATGGTTAACCATTATAGTCGCTACTTTCTTTATACCCATTGAGAAACCAACACAATATTTATCACTGTCCAACACCATTATGCGCTTCAAATTCATCTTTTATTCCTTTACTTAAAAGTTTAAAGAAAATACAAAGTACAAAAAATCAGCAAACTATAACGACCAACATCTTTACCATGACGTGACAATACATTAAACATGAAATAATTGGAATTGCCTATGTGGTGACAGGCGAATTCGAAAGTAATGATAACCATAAAGGATTATCCCCAAAGCATAACAAATAACATTTAGTGTTTGTTATGATATAGTTATATCAAACAATTACAAATTAAACGAATCATTTTACATTAGTACGTTTACATTTGCATAACATTCTTCACTATCTTTAATTGCACCTTTCTTTTCGATTTTTAAAAATCTCAAATCTATCATTGATTTATGCTTTTTTCACTGAATAGACCTTAATATTTTCATTAATTCAAATCACACACATTTTACACTCATTTATGTGAATGAGTTATATGAAATAATCAGTCGGCTGTAAACTTCCCAAATTATAATAACCCGACCACCCATTCCATCCGACTCCAGACCACACCCATCCTCACCAAAACTCCGCCCAATTCAATCCTGACCACACCCAATCATCTTATCTCGCCCACTATACCCCGGACCGTACCCTACCTGAGCCCAGTCCCCCTTGCTACAATCATTGTTGTATTATTAGGACGGTTTTGCATTTTATATGCCATCTTCATGTTACTCGCAAGTGGCCAACTCCTTGGTTAGGCGTTGGCAGACGTGAGGGCCTTTCTGCAGGTCACGGGCTCGAGTCTGCATACCGTCAAGGCACTCGCTGAATTCACCCCATTCACCAAGAGTACATGGAACTGTTGGGATTAAGAGATCGAGTTAAATAGTCATTATGATAATTAACAATTCTGTTTCCCCCCTGCATTTCACAATCGTCCCCATGAGGTTCCGTGCAATAGAATCTGTTACCAGGGCCCCATTTCACAAACTTGTCAAATGACAATTTTTGTTATAAGCTACTGAAATCCTTGCTTCTGATTGGTTATCAGCAGAGTTGTCACTGATTTTTGTCGTTTGTGATTGAAAAAAGGCTTTGTGAAACGGGTCCCTCATTTAATACAGTGCATTTCAATGAATAAATCCTACCAGGTATATGTACACCAGTCCTCTTCAACACATGGGTAGCGGGAGAAAAGACTGAATAAAATGTCGTATCAAAGACTATACGCCGCCGCACACTTCAAATCTCGGCCCAGCGCGCCGGGCCGAGATTTGAAGTGTGCATCATGCTGGATTTAGAGTCAAGCATGAACCAATAATATACGGGGGTCGGGGGTCAATAAAAATTTCTCATTACATTCATACTTGAGATCTAGAGATTCGTTATTATTCAATGCCATGTTCGGTCACACTGTCTTGAAAATGTCGTGAGTTCATTTCCATAACTAAAGTCAACAATTTTTCTGTATGTCGGAGAAATGAGTTTAACGGGAAGCGCGCTAACGGGAAAGACCATTCGAAAGGAGAGATGTGCACTATGTACCGGAGGTGTTGATCCTATTATGGATCGGTATACAGGTCCCTCCCCCCGCCCTCAAATAACTGGAGAGTATTAACTTTGTATTAGAATAACCCGAGAAATTAGTTTGCCCCGCCCCCATCCTTTCTAAAAAGCACTGTCACCCCCACTAGTGACTCTACAATGCATTCTGGATAAAAGTACAAGAAAGATTATAAAGAAAAAGAAACGATCAAGGACAGACAGAAAGAATGACTGTATGAATAATTGAAGAAGAAGAAGGAGAAGAAGAAGGAGGAGGAGAAGAAGAAGGAGAAGAAGGAGTGGAAGGAGGAGAATTGGATGAAGAATAGGAGGAGGAGCATTATCGGCATCATCCATGAGACCATCACCCACCTTTTCCTTTCTTGCAAGGCAGTTCATGCGTCCTGACAGCTTCGCATTCAGCTGGGGCGCCCTCTACGACCACAAGCGAGCCAGTCATGGTGATTTGGTTTGTTGTTTCATTACAGGTAGGAGCTTGTTCCCAGTTATATCTGCATCGCATGGGCCTACCTCTATGTTCTACGTTGTGAGAGAAAAAGTGAGTACAAAATAACAACATGGGTGTAAAATAACATTTACAAATCGTATAGCGGCTTTTCAAGTAAATTAGATCTATGCAGGGTCGTCGATCACTAGAGTTTAAATTGTAATAACCCAAAAAAATACAGACAAGTTTACAGACAAGTCTTTTTCCGCCAACGAACCAAAAGTAATTTCTCAGATTGCAAAATTCGTTGACAATGATGAAATCCGTATCAACTCAGATTTGCCGACTGGAGTAAAGAAGAAACCCGAATATCTTAAGATTTGTACATTAGCCCTCATGGTTTGAAAATCATAGATCCCTCGGGCCCTCCACAGGAGAAAAAAAACATAAATAAACTACTGTCCCTTTTCTTTCGGTCAAGCAACTTTCATCAACAAAAAAAGAAAGAAAAGAAATCGGGTGGGACCGTAAACCTATGACGATTGCGACAATGGTAGTGGTGGTGGTGGTTTATGATGATGATAATGGTGATGTTGATGAAGATGCCGTTCGTACCTGGTTTAGAGCAACCATCCTCAACAGCCCTAACCTGGGTGATGACGAGGAGCAGACGATAATGCTAACAATGATTATGGTAGTGGAGGTGATGATGATGATAATGG